CATTTGACTTCCTAGCCTGCTGCACATTAATTAATTGGTGACTCTGCCACTACGTTGAGAAGACATGGCACTTGCACTCTATGATGGGTGTCCCATCAATCACTCAAGAATGATCCTTGTGTAAGACCGGATCTCTGGGGAGGGGTGCTGCTTAGAGCTTCAAGACCTCGAGAGAAGATTGGGCCTCAGAAGGAAGGGCCTCGGCTACAAGGTCACTTCGGCATATTAGCTTCGGTATCAGCACTTGGGCCACGTCTGGCATGGGCCTCTGAGCCTCGAATAAGATGTCACGTGGGTCGGAAGAGATGGACCCAGTGGGTCTGCTAAGTGTCAATACGTAACAAAATTAATTATTGTGTTGAGTCCCAATTTGATTGAGTTCTTTTGACTTCTCCAAAATTCACATAAATTGGATCATTCGTCTTTGCTTGGACCCACCATGTTTCATGCATTTGGGCTGGGCTCTTAGGTCACTCCCTTTCTAATTATTATTCAGTCACCTTGAGCAGTCCGAATGCAAATAATATCATTTTTTTATTGTGAACAATTTCAAAATAAAAAAAGGGAACTTCGAATTAATTGAGTGTCAATTTTTTGAGTGCAATGGCAATTGGGTGTCAATTTGACATAAAATAATGTCAAGATTGTTACTTACAATCAATCAAATTGTTAGTTACAAGAGTTAAATTTGATAGTTGCTGTTGACCTCCAAAAATGGCTCTTCCACGTGGCCAACTTATAGCTACTCCACGCATTCCTCCCTGCGAAATGAATAAACGGTCAGGTGCACACGGCCAGAACCGACAGGGGTGGTGGCGGCCGTGTACACTCCGACTGTCAAGTCAGGTTTGGGTGGTCGGAACAGTGCCCAGTGGCTACACAAATCAATCAATAAAGGGGGAGGAGAATAGATGAACTTGTTATGGAATGCTATGTATTGAGAGTTTCATTACCTTTGCCTCTTGCCAAACCTTGGGTATTTATAGGTGGTATGAACCGCTGGATGTGGAATGCGTGTGTTCATCTGACGGTATGAAGCGTCTGCTCATAGGCGTCGATCAGCCGCGCTTGTAGAGTGGGCGGACAGTTTGTTTCCCCTGAGTTGAATTGACATAAAGTTGATAAGTCACATCAAATAGCCTCATGGAGACGTCAAATCAATTTAAGCCTTAGGTGCAGGACAAATCTTAAACTGGCGGCGGATCTTCTAACCGGGGTCCACTTGATCTCGACCTCGGAGGTGAGATGCTTCGGCAGATCAGTAGTAGGAATCGCTATATCACTTTGGAGAAGCTTCGGGAGGGTCGTTTTCAGGTCTGAGTAAATGGTGCTGCATAAGGTCTATTTGATCTCGGCCTCGGTGGTGAGATGGCACTTCGGTGTCGAGGCGCGAATAGTCGAGGCGTAACAGTGGTCCCCCAAATCCAGGAATGAATATTTATATTATGCGTGGATTTGTTTTCCTAACCGGGCTGCGAGTCATGGGACCCTTTTTATTTTTTTTTTGGGGGTCAACTTGTCGCAGCAGCCGAGGTTAGGATAATAGGCCGACGCGGGGCATTCGCATCAGGCGCGTCCCAGTACTTGATCTCGATATCGAGGCGTCGATGCGCTGAAAGAACAGGTCGACGCGTGGGGATAGCTGAAACTTTGTAAAGCATGGAAGGAGACGCGGCGTCCGGGCGATGACCCAATGGAGCGTTCGCGTCAGGTGCGTCCAAGCTTTGTAAAGTTGGAAGAGGAACTCATCTCGCACCGATGCGTTGACGAAAAAAGGTCGACGCGTGGGGAGATGGCTGAAACTTTGTGAAGCATGGGGGGGAAACGCAGCTTCCGAGGCGACGAGCCAATGGGGCGTTCGCGTCAGGTGCGTCCAAGCTTTGTAAAGTTGGAGGAGGAGCTCATCCGAGGCGACCCAAACATCCAATGATTTGACAACTATTGCGTGTTTCCAAGGTGACAGTTGGGTGCTATGCCCATTCTCCTAAAAGGCTGCTGCGGCTAGTAATTATTATTGACGGTTGGTTGTAACCGAGGTGATGCGTTTCAATTTAGCGTGAAGGTCACAGCGACATCTTGGGCGTAGATCAAATCTGGCGTTTCGTTTCAACGGCCTGGATTGAGGATGCGACGAACGGCTTAGATTGATCGCATTTGAATTCAACGGTGGAGATTGGACTTGTTTTTCCTATAAAAGGAGGACTCTGGGGTTTTCTCAGACTTTCTACCTTTGCAAGACTGAAATCACCATTTGCTCTCAAATTTCCGGCGATTTTCGGCGTTTTGCAAGCAACTCCGGCGAGAAAGAACGATACTTCCGGCGATCCTACACCATTTTCGGCTAGGAAAAACTTCCAAACCCGTAAGTTTCAGCGCCCATTTGGACTTTAAAAAATTTCTTAACGAATGGCCACGGAAGGGAGTTCTGGTTTGGGGAGGGGCTTAGAAATAGTGAGGGTGGACGAGCCCACTGTGGTGACCTCCTCATAAATAGCTGGGGCGATAATGGGGGGGAGAACATATGGAAACGACCAGATAGCCCCAGATACCTCTGTGTATTGGGGGGGTCGAACTACCCATCAAAATTAAGGAAGGCCGACCTGGGTAGACTTAGGACAGAATATAGGATCCCAGACAGTGTAGACTTGATCCTCCCCAGGCCGAAAGAGAGAGCCTGTTACCCAAGGCTGGGCTGTGTGGCCGTTAGTGAGGCGATCCTTAGGGCCGGACTTAGGCTGCCTATCCACCCATTCTTTAGGTTGGTGCTTAGGTCTTATGGGCTAGCCCCGACGCAGCTCAATCCAAACTCCTGGAGCCAGATGGTGGGCTCCTGGATGTTGTGGAAAGAGGCGTCATTAGGGGTGGAGATGCCCCTTTCCGTTTTCCAGACCCTCTATATACCCAAGGTTATTGTCGGGGGGATAAGACCCGGGGTTGGTACTACCTTACGTCATGGGGTTCCCACACTCCATTCGTGATCGATCTGCCGAGCTCCATCAAGGAATGGAAGAGCTCATGGTGCTGGGCAGCGGGGCGATGGGACACAATGGAGGGGGACCCCCTGGCGCCTCTTACAGTCCAGCGAAGTTTTCTACACTTAGTGAGTATAGTAGTTGCTCCGTTTATTTTCTCTTCGGTTCAGCTTGTGTCTAACGGTTATGTTTCTTTTCGTAGGTTCTCTTCCTCGGTGCGAGCTATCAACAGAGGACTTCGACACTATCTGTGTCATTTATCAGCTGCCTCAGAAGAAGAGGTCCTACCACAGGCTGATCTGGAAGAATATCCATTTCATCACTCACGACTTAATGGCGTCTCAAGGTAACAGGACCGGAGCCCACACACTTTTTTATTCCGAACTCCCTAGACTTGTACTAATTCCTTATTTGTTTCTTTGCAGATAACTTCAACAAGAAGCTGCCAGTACGCCCCGACTTCAAGATCATCCAGAAAATGATGGCTGAGGCACGGGCACTGAAGGCCTCCTCCTCTTCGTATAAGAAGCAAATGGAGGAGCTGGTGGAGGCCAGTAAGAGGCTCCAGCCTCCGACGGAGGAAGAGGTTCTTGAGGACCCGGAGGCTGACCTCCGAAGGAAGGGCAAGAAAAGTGCCGCCCCTCCTAGATGCCCAACTGTGGCGAGGCCACCCCCAGTTTTGAGGCAAACAACTATTCCCACGGGGGTGGCCCTTTCGGAGAGAAGCCCTACTCCAGCAGAGCCTGTCGCTGCCCCGGACACAGCACCCCTTGCTGCCGTACCCATTGAACAAGTTCCGGGGCAGCAGAGGAGAAAAAGGGCCCGCTCCACCAAAGAGGTTGATTTCCTGGGTACCAATCAAGAGGAGCCCGTAAGGGAGGTTTTGGAGGCTCTTCCTCCAGAGACGACTGCGGTGGCGATGGTCCACAGCAAATATTGGACTGAAGAGTGGAGGGACCACACCACCTCCTGCACGGTCGAAGATTTGGTGGCAGCGAACAGCGCCTGCGTGGCCCGGGCACTAAGCACAAGCATCCAGCTCGAGGGCTTGGTGAAGGATCTAAACTCCAAGAGGGAGGACCTCGCCAAACGCCTCGAGGAGGCGATGCATTATGGGGATGCTGTGCGAGCGGCCCAGGCCAAAGCCACCAAGGCAGATGAGAGGAAGAGAGCTGTTGAGGTCCAGCTTATTGCTACACAAGCAGAGGTGGAGCGGCTGAAGAAAGAGCTCTACGAGGTGGAGTGCCAAGTGGCTACTGTGACTCGACGACTTGACCACGCTAACGAGCACCACAAGCTCGCCACCAATGCTCTGGAGGCCTCTAACAGAGAAAAGGCAGAGCTGAAGCAGCAGACAGAGGCCCAGTCAGAGGAGATCGCCTCTTTGAATGAGGAATTGAAGTCTGCGGGGGAGGTGGCAGTCCAGAATTTTATTGACCACTTCGAAGACCATCCCCTTTACGACGACTTTGCCAACTTTTGGGCCTCGTGGAGTGCCCAAAGCCTACTGGGTCGACTGAAGGAGGTGCATCCTACTCTGGACATCTCTCAACTGGAGGCAGAGTTTGGGGGACCAACCGGAGGTCGGCCTGATAAAGTTACTGAGGAGGCTCCAGAGGCCCAGGAGGCGGCCAGTGCTGAAATTCCTCCCACAGACTAGGGTTTCCTTTTTGTCTTGTAATGGCTTCGGCCCCCAATGTGCCTTAATTTTGTGAAATGGAATGAAAAATTTTTGTCAAGTCTTTTGGCTTCTGCTTCTTTGTAATCCTTTTGTTTTATACTTGTATGAATGACAAACATTAGACTAATTGCCTCGCGACAACGATCGGTTAACAATTGTGAACCGGTCCGCTTAAGCAAACATAAGTCCAAACACTTAAGTGAGCAGGAAGTGATTCCTAACTTCAACTTCTTAATAATCTGAGGTCAGACCAATTGAGGAAACATGAGGAACCGCTTGGTAATCAACTAATAATTGATGATCGGATCGCTCAAATGAACCTTCCGAAGAACTGAGGAAGCTATTCCCTAGCTGATCTGGTTTGGAACTGGAAATTCATTACTAAGATAAATTACACCACCCTTTACAAAGGTGATTCCATCACTTAAGAACTTTACAACCGAGATCAGATCGGAACAACCGATTCGCTATGACACCTTAGGATCAGATCGGAGCAGTTTTATTACTGGTAGTATTTTCTCAAGTGCTCGATGTTCCACTTGTGAGGTAGCATCCTTCCTGACATATCTTCGACTCGTAGGTACCAGGTCGGGATTCTCCTCGAATGCGGTAAGGGCCTTCCCAGTTCGGGCCAAAAACTCCTGACCCGGTTGGTTTTGAAGATTGGAAAACTCTTTTGAGGACGAGGTCGCCCAAGCGGAGAGTTCTGTTTCTGACCTTGGAGTTGTAAAAGCGGGTCATCTTGCGATGATATTTTGCCAAGGTCATTTGGGAAGTATCTCTCTTTTCCTCAAGGAGGTGCAGTTCACTTATTCGTGCCTCGTCGTTGCCGATCTCATTGAAATGTATCCGTCGATGTGATAGGATCCCAACTTCGACCGGACTCATTGCTTCGGCTCCGTAGGTCATGGAAAATGGGGTTTCGCTGGTTGCAGTCCGGCAAGTTGTTCTGATGGCCCAGAGGATGTGGGGGAGTTCGTCAACCCAGGTGCCTTTTGAGGCATCCAGTTTCCTTTTCAGGGTGTGCTTGATAGTCTTGTTCACTGCTTCAACCTGTCCATTTGCCTGGGGATGATGCGGAGTCGAGAAGTCCTTCTTTATGCCCAGTTCGTCGCATAAGTCTCGCATCTTCCTGTTGTCGAACTGCCGTTCATTATCAGAGACAATGGAGTGGGGAATGCCGAATCTACAAATGACGTTTTTCCAAACGAATTTCATAGTATTGGCCTCGGTGATTCGGGCAAGGGGTTCTGCCTCGACCCACTTAGTGAAGTAGTCGATGGCGACAATGGCGGAAGTTGTGTTTTCCCTCCCTTTTGGGAGTGGACCAATGAAGTCGATGCCCCACTTGGCGAATGGCCAAGGGCTGGTCACTACAGAGATGCTCTGAGCAGGCTGTCTTTGCGCGTTAGAGAAGCGCTGGCACTTGTCACATTTTTGGACAAATTGGTAAGCATCCCTTTTCAGGGTTGGCCAGAAGTAGCCTTGATGGAGAACCTTGTGTGTCAGAGCCATCCCTCCGGGAGTGATTTCCGCAGATCCCTTCATTTATCTCTCTGAGTATGTATGTGGCCTCTTCGCCGCCCACACATCGAAGAAGGGGCGAAGCGAAGCCTCTCTTGTAAAGGGTGTCTTCTTGAAGGACAAAGTGTGCAGCCCTTCTTCTTAATTTTCTTGCTTCGCCTCTGGAAGCGGGCAGTGTTTGCTCCTTCAGATACGCTTTTATGGGCTGCATCCAAAATGGGGTGCCTTCTATCCACAGTAACTCTTCGCCTGCGAAGGTGGAGGGCTTCGATAAGTGCTCAATGGGGACGATGCTTAGAAGCTCTGAGTCCATGCTGCTGGCTAACTTTGAGAGGGCATCTGCATGGGCATTTTCTAGACGGGGGACTTGAGTCAGTTCGAACCTTTCGAAATGGGGAATTATGTCCAGAACCAGCTTCAAGTATGCAAGCATGTTACCATCTTTGGCTGCGAAATCCTCATTTACCTGATTTACCACGAGCTGAGAATCACTGCTTGCTAGGAGCTTCCTGACCTGCATTTCCTTAGCGAGCCTTAGACGTGCCAGAAGGGCCTCATATTCGGCCGCGCTGTTCGAGGCTCTGAAGCCGAATCTTACAGCACAATTTAGCAAATGGCCTTCCGGGCTCTCCAACACGATTCCTGCCCCCACGCCAGCCTCTCCTGAAGACCCATCTACAAACAATTTCCATGTGGGGGGCTCGGTCGGTTCCATTATGTCCTCCATTTCTGGGGCTTTGGTAAACTCGACCATAAAATCGACAAGGGCCTGGCCCTTGATAGCGCCTCTAGGTCGGAACGTGAGATCGAACTCGCTGAGCTCAATAGCCCATTTCAGCAGGCGTCCCGACGCGTCTGTTTTCTGCATCACTTGCCTTAAAGGAAAATTGGTGAGGACTTGTACTGAGTGGGCTTGGAAATATGGCCTCAGCTTTCTTGAGGCTATGATAAGTGCGAGTTCCAGTTTTTCCATGTCGGAGTAGCGTGTTTCAGTTGGGAGAAGTGCTTTGCTGATGTAATACACCGGCAATTGACGCTCATTTTCTTTCCTAGTTAGGACCGCGTTGACTGCCACGTCTAAAATTGCTAGATACAGCAATAGAGACTCATCCGACTGGGGTTTCGACAGGAGGGGTGCTTCCCCGAGGTGTTTCTTCAGAGACTCGAAGGCTTCTTGGCACTGCGAAGTCCATTGGAATCTCTTTCCTTGCTTCAATACATTGAAGAAAGGTAAGCTTTTATCAGTGGCTCTGGAGATGAAGCGGCTGAGTGCGGCTATCCGGCCATTGAGACTTTGGACCTCCTTCGATTTCTGAGGTGACCTCATTTCTAGTAAGGCCGCTACCTTTGCCGGATTTGCCTCAATTCCTCTCTGATTTACAATGTATCCCAAGAACTGGCCTGATGTCACTCCGAATGTGCACTTGAGGGGGTTCAGCTTCATGTTATACTTTCTGAGTATCTGGGAGGTTTGGTCAATGTGACTCACGTGTTCGGCCGCCTGGAGGCTTTTGACCAACATGTCGTCCACGTAGACCTCCATAGTTTTGCCAATGAGTTCAGCAAACATCATGTTGACTAACCTCTGGTATGTGGCCCCGGCATTTTTCAATCCGAAGGGCATAACTTTGTAGCAATACAGCCCCCTGTCCGTAATGAATGATGTAGCTTCCTCATCAGGTCGGAACATGGGTATCTGGTTGTATCCTGAGTACGCATCCATGAAACTCAGTAGTTCATGCCCAGCAGTGGAGTCCACCAGTTGATCAATTCTTGGAAGTGGGAAGCTGTCCTTGGGACACGCCTTATTCAGGTTTGTGAAGTCCACACAGACCCTCCACTTCCCACTGGACTTTTTCACCAGAACCGGGTTGGATATCCACCTTGGATATATGGCCTCTCTGATGAAACCACTGTGACTAAGTTTACTTACTTCGTCTTTCAGTGCCTCATACCGTTCCGGGTTCAGGGCACGCCTCTTCTGTCTATGGGGGGCATAGGAGGGGTTGATGTTAAGGTGATGGCAACTGATCCTAGGATCTATTCCCACCATATCTTCATATTTCCATGCGAAGACATCCAGGTTTTCTTTCAGGAATCGTATCATCTCAATTTTTGCTTCAGGCGATAATGACTTCCCTATGCGTAAGACTTGATTGGGGTCTTCTGGATTGACTGGGAAAGTTTCCAGTTCTTCCATGGGGGTCGCATTTGGTTCATAATTGATTATTCGGGAGTCTAACTCATCAAGAGGGTGTCCTTGTTCAGGGGCTTCTTCCATGACGACATCTTCCTCTTGTTCAGAGGTATGCCCTTGTTCAGGGGCGTCGAGCATTTCCACGTCCGTACCGGCTTCAGCGGGTACTTCGGCTAGGATTACATTGACAGTTCGAGGCTCGGATTTACGCAGCGAGTTTAGGTAGCATGCTCTGGAGCCCATCTGATCGCCCCGGACTGTTGCAATTCCATGTTCAGATGGGAATTTCATGCACAGATAGTGAATGGACGTCACAGCCCAAAGATCTTTTAGAGCGGGTCTGCCCAATACTCCATGATAAGCCGACCTATGATCTACCACCAGAAATTCCATGAAATGCTGGGCGACCAGGGGGGCCGAACCCATTTCCACAGGCAGGGTGATCCGCCCTCGTGGGATGATGCTGTCCCCAGTGAATCCGAACAGTGGGTCAGTCATGGGGATTAACCCATGTTCAATTTGCATTTTGTTAAAAGTGGAGCCGAACAATATGTTCACGGAACTGCCATTGTCAACGAGCATGTGTTTTAATCCATTTCTAGCTACCACGGCTCTTACAACCAAAGCGTCGCAATGGGGATGGTGAACTCTCTCTGAATCTTACTGGGAGAAGGTGATTGGGGCCATCTTGTCATCCGATTTCGATTCGTCGACAATGTAGGTGATCATCGGGGGATCCTTAGCTTCTCTTGTATAATTTTTCTGGGCATTCCTGGTGTTGCCACCGACGTGGGGTCCCCCAATGATGGTATCGATTTCCCTGATGACTTGACCTCCAGCGAATTGGGCTTGGTTCCCTTGTCTGGATTGGCCTCGATTTCTCGATTCTCTTCTGCGAGGAGATTGTTTCTGGTGACCTCTTCCTCCCCTCCTCGGAGAGGTGGATCTGCGGGCGTGCTCATTTCTGCTGGAAGTGTGGGGGTTGCTTTGATCAGGGCGCCGATTGGCATCACGACACTCGCTAGTGTCATGTCCGTATAATTGATGGAAAGTACAAAATCTTGCTCCTGCCAAGGGCCTGTTTAGCCTCTTTTTCTTCTTCTTGTTGTTGTCAATTCTTCCAGATGGTCCTACCTCAGCGGGTGCGTTATCATATGCCAACACCGGCACTGCGTTCAATGTGGCGGAAGCTAGGGCCTGTCCGGATGTGGGAGCTATGGTATGCCCTGCTTGGGTCCATTGCTGAGTAACAAGGTGCGCTGCGGGGCCTCGACCTACCTGCCTCTGTGGGGGAGGGAGTCCCTGCGCGGCACAGTTGCGATGATCAATCATTTCTTCACTAACAATTTCCACTCTCATCATCTCCATCAGCTCGTCGTATGTGGAGGGATTTTTGCTGCGCACGTCCCTCCAAAACAAAGTGTTCATATTGAGACCACCTTTCAGGGCTGAAAGGGCTTCCTTGTCAGTGACCTGCTCGCAGTAAGTAATTTCGTCTGTAAACCTGGCGAGATAGCTTTTCAGCGTCTCTCCAGAGGCCTGCCTCATGTCTTGCAGGTGTTGAATTGGCGCCTCTCCTTCCCTGCGTGAGAGGTACTGGTCCAAAAATGATTTCTTCAAGTCTGGCCAACTTCTGATGCTTAGGAGAGGAAGCCTGCTATACCACACCTCGGCGGCTCCGCCTAGTGTTAAATGGAAAGCTCTGCACTTTAGAGCAGGTGAGGCTCCCCTAAGACTCATTTGTGTCATATACTTTGTGAGGTGCTTCTCTGGATCCCCTTTTCCCTCATACTTGGGGATCTTAGGGGGCATGAAGTTAGTTGGCATTGGGAAGCTTCGAATTTCCCTTAAGAAAGGGAGGTTATCGTCATCGTCGTCAATCTCATAAGATCGACAGGCCCCTCCAATCCTTCATCATCTTGGATGTCTTGGGGTGGAGGAGGCCCTTCTCCCCGGCTCCCCCAATCGACTAAGTTTCTCCTCTCCCTCCTATTTCTAGGAGGAGGGGGAACATGCTCTTCTTCGCGGTCTGACCGGACCGACCCTCTTGCCGGGCGGACCCTATTGCTAGGATCGTTCCCTATCCAGTCGAAGACGCTCGCTGACCTCTGGTCATCTATTTCTTGAGGAAAGTTGTCCCCCAAGAGTGATTCTGATGGGTGACTCTCCTGCGCATAAGATGTCGCTTCGGTGTTCTCCTCTCTTTCGAGAGGACGTTCTGTGTGCCGGCTCATGTGGCCTCGAGAGTGAGACAAAGGGATTTCCTGTACGGGATAAGATCCTTGTGGCCTCTGGTGTCCCTGGGCTTGCATGAGAAGTTCCCGCATCGCCATATTCTAAGCTGCTATGTCTCTCATACCCGCAACTATTTGGGCCATTCCTTCAGTGAGTATGGCTGTTCTTTTGCCCCGTCGACGTCGGTGATGCGGTCTCTGATGAGTAACATTATTATGGAGCACCTCTTCTTCAGAGGCCTCTCTCATGGGATTGTCTTCACGGCTGTAGCTCATCCTACCTCTTTTCTTCAAGGGTAGTAAGAACTTGGATTGCAATTCAACTTTGTTCTTTTTCGAGAATGCGCCCTTTTTCAGGGTCAGCCGCTGATTTTCTGGTGTCTTCTCCGATGGGGAACGCAAAACTTCAAATGGAGAGTGAGCTTCCCACAGACGGCGCCAAACTGTTGACCTCCAAAAATGGCTCTTCCACGTGGCCAACTTATAGCTACTTCACGCATTCCTCCCTGCGAAATGAACAAACGGTCAGGCGCACACAGTCGGAACCGACGGGGGAGGTGGCGACCGTGTACATTCCGACGGTCAAATCAGGTTTGGGTGGTCGGAACAGTGCCCAGTGGCTACACAAATTAATCAATAAAGGGGGAGGAGAATATATGAACTTGTTATGGAATGCTATGTATTGAGAGTTTCATTACCTTTGTCTCTTGCCAAACCTTGGGTATTTATAGGTGATATGAACCGCTGGATGTGGAACGCGTGTGTTCATCTGACGGTATGAAGCGTCTGCTCATAGGTGTCAATCAGCCGCGCTTGTAGAGTGAGCGGACAGTTTGTTTTCCCCGAGTTGAATTGACATAAAGTTGATAAGTCACATCAAATAGCCTCATGGAGACGTCAAATCAATTGAAGCCTTAGGTGCAGGACAAATCTTAAACTGGCGGCGGATCTTCTAACCGGAGTCAACTTGATCTCGACCTCGGAGGTGAGATGTTTCGGCAGATCAGTAGTAGGAATCGCTATATCACTTCGGAGAAGTTTCGGGAGGGTCGTTTTCAAGTCGGAGTAAATGGTGCTGCGTAGGGTCTATTTGATCTCGGCCTCGGTGGTGAGATGGCACTTCAGTGTCGAGGCGCGAATAGTCGAGGCGTAACAGTTGCAGCAATCAATTTGTAAGTTACAAAAATAAAATCTTCTGACAAGTTAATAACTTTTAGTTGATTTTAAACTAGATTAGGCTTATCTAGAGATTAAATTCCTTTTTAGTTTAACTAGAAATGAGATTTTTAATGATATTGATAAAAATTTATGAAATGTTGGTTGAAATTTTGATAAAAAAAAAATGTGGATCTCATAAAATATTTGATTAAAAAATGAATTTTCGAATATTGGGACCAGAAAAGGTCTAGGTTATTTAAATTAAATTAAATACTTAATCCGTCATTTTCTAGATGATTAAAATTAAATTATTTTACTTATCCATAGTCAACTTGCCTTGTTTAAAAATACAATTGACCATTCAACTTTGTACAATATTTACATTGACCTTTAAATTTTTCAAATGATCATCAAATTTTCAAATCATTTTTTCATTGATCAATAAACTTTAAATGTCTTTTGGGTGATCGCTGACTTGTCAAATCGTTTTCTCATCCATTGGCCATTATATTTCTTGAATATTCATTAAATTTATCAAATCATTATTCCATTCTTCATTTAATAACTTGCCGTTAGAAAATTCAGCGAAATAACTTACATGACAAACAAGAATGCTCATGAGAATCATGACAAATTATTCTAGTTAGTTGACAAATTCGTTAAAAACGCGATCATATATTAAAAGTGCTAAAAAAATACGATTGAATTTTAACCTTTGTATTTATTTTATTCAGTATTATTTTTTTTTATAGCTTTTTCCTATTAATTGCATTTTAAATAAGGTCGTTTTTGGCTAATCTGTCATAAACTAACGACAATGTGTGTCAATTCAGCATTCTCACTTAATCAAACCAGCAAGTCAACCAAATTTTTTAATGGTAAGATAATGAGCGATGGATAGGACTATTGCAAAATAATGAGATAATTATTTAA